CCTATCAATGCTGACACATTTCATGGGAGGCACTGACGATAACAACGAAAAAGAACTAATACATGTCACAAGTTCGTCTTAAGATGTTGTGGAAAACATTCGCATCTTTTGTGACAGTGATGGCGGTTTTGATTTAATCATCTATTTTTCTCTCCAAAAGACGACATGTCATGTCATAAAAAGCAAGAAAAAAATACGTCGATGACGGCGATGATAACATGAAGGATGACAGAATGATAACTTTCGCCAGTATATCTTGAAAATAGATCGCCGAGTTTTTACGTTCATTGTTAGAATGGAGTCTAAGGGATTCTTGACAATGTGCCGAATAGATATCTCAATCTATCTCCAGACGGAATCTAATTTTCCATGGACGTCGTCGCTCTTATTTTCGGTCAATTAGATAAGCTATTGATCTATACATGTGTGTGAATGCCGTCGGTAATGAACGCGTAATAAAATATATAACACCCGGTTTCTACCGCTTTAAAAAGAATCCCCTGTGGCACTTTGTGTGCTACCTCCAGGGTTACTTTCTTCGTACGGTAGATACCATCAAGTAATCATTAACAATAAAATGGAAATAAAAATCTGTACTTTCCTTTCCATGATCATAATGAGCTGAAATAGAACTCTTATACTAATCGAAATCGAGCAACATTGCATTTCCCTTTGTGCAGTTATACGCACAAGAATTTTATCAATGTATTTAATTAGATTATTTGTTTATTTGTATACAGTATCAAACCAGTTTTAAGGGAAAATACATAAGTATATTAAACTTCATATATTTTACAACAATTATGGAACTCTTTTTATCAACTTATATTAATCGCTCTTGTTGTCCCAGATGAAAGCGCACAGAGGTTCTAATGTGGGAGGACACAGGTAGAAGTACCCAGAGAACCCCGACTGGTCGGCAGGTAACCTGATCGGGGAGTCGAACCCATGCCGCCTTGGTGAGAGGCAAGTGCGATATCCACTATGTCACATGGTATGATCATATATTAAATTGGCATGTTGACACCGCGTGTGCAGATACAAAAGCACTTGTATCTTGTAATAAACAATTATTATTAAGTTTGAATATGTAAATTTTGTCGTGTTTGCCGATCTTCACACATATTAAATCCCTTTTTGAAGCGAAAAGAACATAATTATGTCGACACAAGCTGACACAGAATTATGTCGACACAACCTGACACAGATCTATGCCGACAAAAATTGACACGGAAGTATGCTGACACAAGATGACACAGATCTATGCCGACACAAGCTGACACAGAAGTATGTCGACACAAGTTGACACAGAAGTATGCCTTCACAAATTGATTCAGAATGATGCCGTCAAAAATTAATTCAGAATGATGCCGTCAAAAATTAATTCAGAATGATGCCGTCAAAAATTGATTCAGAATTACGCCGTCACAAATTGATTCAGGAGCATGACACAAGTTGACACATAATTATGCCGTCATGAATTCACACAGACGTTCGACAACAGGATATGACGCAGATATATGTCGACAAAAGATGGAACTGACACGAAATTTTGTCGACATGAATGAAACATAAACTTATCGATACGAACTAAACAGGCGAAGAAGTATGTCGACACAAATTGACACAGAATTTTGTCGCCACGAACTGGCATGGTAATTTGTCGACAAAATCTGACTTAAGGTTTTGTCAACACGAAATGACATAGAATTACGTCGACACAGAGTGATATAAAAAAGTGCCAGCACAAAGTGGTACAGAAACTTGTCGACATAAATGATATACATGTAAATGACACACAGACATATATCAACACGAACTGAAATAGATTACTGTCGACATGAACTAACACAGAAATATGTCGAAAACAACTTAGATACATGTGTGTCGATATGAACTGACACAGAGGTATTCGACACGAATTGGCATAGCAGTGTACACGTGTTGACGAACTGCCCAATGATCATGTCGTCACAAACACAGCTTACACCGAATCATGTCGTCACAAACACAGCTTACACCGAATCATGTCGTCACAGACACAGCTTACACCGAATCATGTCGTCACAGACTCAGCTTACACCGAATCATGTTGTCACAGACACAGCTTACACCGAATCATGTCGTCACAAACACAGCTTACACAGAATCATGTCGTCACAAACACAGCTTACACAGAATCGTGTTGGCACAAACTGAAACTAAAAAATGTGGATGTTGGATAGTTTTTCCCGGTATCAAAGAAACCGGATGAGCCCCATACACTCCAATGAGCTTATATTGGCGAGTCGTGCATCCTTTATTATGTAAGTAAATCAACCTTCATATAATATAAATAACGTAATAATGTTAACGAATACATATGAATGATCATGGTAAAAAGTCTATACAATTTGTGTTTATTGGATGATAAGAATAACCAAGACGCTATCAAAGTGATATTACAATGAATGACGTAGACATACTTTATAGTGTAAGGCACGCCCCGCTATACAGAAAGGCGCGGTACCACGGAGAAAGACGCTAGGAGAAAACTGTTACGTATCATCAAAATGGTCCAAGTTATTGGTGCACTGTCTTAAAACTAATGCACTTTAAACATTTCATAACCGTTTCTTTGGAAGAAAAAAATACAAAACATCGACGGATACATAATAAACTAAACAGGAAATTGTGGATTTTCAACTTTATAAATGAACATGAGATTTTTTTTAGAAGGAAACCAAGGAACGATATTCTAGATGAGCGAGTTATTATATTGGTTTGTGTTTGCAGGGATGTAATCTTAGATTATCCCAATTTCTCAAAAATCCATATTTTTGTCTAATTTCATTTCACTAAATTGGTCTTGGTGAGAGGAGGAAATGATATAAGATGCTGTCAGTACACAAAGTTCACCTGAACTCATAGAGGGTCGTAAACAAGTTTGTATATCAGACGAGATTGTTGAAGTGATATTAGAAGTATCCATGTTAGGGAGCCTTTGGCGATTTCAATAGATAGCATCTACAATACATGTGTTCCATTACAACATTGATTTCGTCTTTCGTTAGGGATGGGATGGCCAACTTATTCCTTATTAAGGACTAACGTCATGGTCGGCTTTGGTGTCAAGACAGCACATATATCGAACTACTAACCGAAAGGTTGCAAGGATAACGCTACCGAAATCTGCATATCAAGGGAGGGAACTCAGCCAAGTGGTGGTGGTGGTGGGTGGTGGTGGTGGTGGTGGTCAGTGGAGGATCCAGAGACAGGGGTCCACATTACCATGTGGGGATGATGATGATGATGACGATGGGTCATTATCATTGTTTGCATGTGAGAGTATGTTGCGTGTGGGAGTATGTGGTAATTTTCGGCTTATATTTGTTATGCATGTGAGAGTATTATGCGTGTGAGATTATGTGGTAATTTTCGGTCTATATTTATTTTGTATTTGAGAGTATTTAGTAATTTCCGGTTCATGAATAGTATGCGTCTGAGAGTAAATAGGAATTTCCAGTTTATGTATATGCGTAACAGGAGATGGAAAAATGCACGACCAGACCGGGGTTCGAACCCATCTATCAATGAATTGGATCATTAATTCGATTGTTTCAGTCTACCAAGTTGTGCGAATTAGAGGGGAATCATGCGCCAGAATGCTGTCCTTTTCAGAAATTTAATTTATCGTCATTCAGTCGTTTGATGTATTGCTCACTTGCCAAGTTAAGCTTTTCAAAGGATTCAAAATAACGTCTAAAGTGCTGTTAAAAGTTGTCCTGTAGCCTACTTCCGCTTGCAATGGGGCACAATGATAGCATTTCGTTCGATTCTATTATTCATCGATCTGTTTCGGACGTCTAACGGAACTGACCGTAATGTGACGCTTTCTACGGATTCATAAGACTATCCAAACCACGTTTTTTAGGAATGATGTCATTTATAATGCTTAATTGCGATATCGCTGGTTGAAACCGGTGTAAAAATGGTCAAACTTGGGCACAAAATAACATGTCCTTCAAACATCCCTGACATACATACAGGTATGTGAATACATAAAACTGGATGAATCAGCTAGAACTAATTATACATTCTTTAATATAGAATTTACTAATAGCCATGCGCATTAAGTCAAGATTAATTTGGGCTTTATGTGCATATAACACCCCTAATTACATGTATATACCACAGTGCACATTCACTTCAACACTTGACCTCCAAATAAGTTTTGAAAATATTCAGAAGTATATACATTTAGCATATCTGGTGCATTATGGTTCATACCGAGGGAGTTATGAAGAAAAGTGACAGTATCCGAACGTAAACCACAAAACATTCGAACACCCCTAGCAAGCAATGTCGTGCTGATAGAAAGATATATTTGCACTTTGAGGGAATCGTGACGTGTCGTAACATTGCCCAATGTTCCTCAACAGAGGACAAAGTTATCGCGAGCGTTAGCGTGAATGGGCTCATAAATAGCTCTTCTATATTTCCTAATGTCGGTAAAATTCAATAAAATTATAATCAGCTATCTGTTAAACATTTTTGTACCACATGTTTTTGAGTACATTTGCCTCTAGGCTGTGCCCTTCAATACGTTACTTAGATTTTGAGTGGGTTTCGCACTAATGATTATACAGCCCTTGGTGTAAAGATCGATATGCTCGCTACAAATGAATTAAGAAAAGAATAAGTAATTCTTTTGATAGAAATTCAGAAATTTCGACAATTTTAAGTTGAATATGAAAGCTTTAACTATTACTGAACAAACGGTCAGATCGGGCATTGACAGATACGTACACAGGAGTAATCTTAACATGTCACTGGTTTTGAAAAAAGAAATTAAAGAAACGAGAAAAAAAAGAATAAGGAAAACGTCACCAAAAACATAATTCGAACTCAAAATCGAAAAATATGACCAAAGGAAACATAGAGAATACGACCCGACGTTCCTGAAGGTTAGCGTCTTCATTTACGACATCCGTCATGTTAATCAAGATCAAAGCCAAATAATGGCATGTCCTCACACCGAGAACAGGGGTAATTACAACTAAGCAATCTAGTGCATAAAGCGTAGTCAGGGGGAATAACTACGAGTAACTACGTTGCACCAGGTGGCGCTACGCCACCTGTGCATCAGTTCTTTTCTTGACATATAGAACAAAGGCATTCATTTATAAAAAAAAAAATGAATTTGTTTATGTTGTTATGTAGTTATTCCCTTATGACGTAGGTTTATAGACTACATGTCCCTTTACACTAGTAATCGTTTCATGGGGATATTCAAATAAAATCATTGCATCAATGACAGAATCACTGGCCCAGATTTCAACTCGAACGTACGACCAAACTGTTCTATATTGCAACAGAATGTATGATAACATTTTGCTATTTCGAGCTCGTTATAGTGACCGTTCATTTCTGTATTGAACTCATGCATGTACGGGTTAATTGTCCTGTTAACACCTTAGGTCATTTAAGAACGTGCATGCATACATATACAGTATAACTGACAATATATATATTAAACTCGGAAGTGCGATCAATCCTATTACAGTCGAAAGTGTGACCAAACTTTTATTTCTTGAACTTGGAAGTATGACCGAACCTCTTTTGATCTTGAAGTCTGTAAGTTATGATCGGACATTTCTATTTGGAAATCGAAAGTTCGCCTATTAAGGCTATAGCGTTTTATCTTGTGTTAAACAGCATCCCTACGTGGGGCAGTTCCCAGGAAATTCCGCAGGTCGGTGGTTATTCTCCGGGTACTCCGGTTTTCCTTCATTCACGAAAACCTGGCTCATCCTTAATGACCATAGCTGTTGATAGGACGTAAAGCACAAACAAAACAAAACAAGCATTGGTCTTTAGAACTTTAAGGTTCGAAAACACGTTCTTAGTTGTATCCCCTTTCCCCCTCGATGTGAGACACAGTAATAAGTTTTAAAATAACCTGCATCGTCTGAACCCTGAGTAATACTGGAACCTCCACCCCAATACTGGAACCTCCACCCCAATACTGATACTGGAACCTCCACCCCAATACTGGAACCTCCACCCCCAATCCTGGAACATCCACCCCAATACTGGAACCTCCACCCCAATTCTGGAACCTCCACCCCAATACTGGAACCTCCCCCCCCAATACTGGAACCGCCACCCCAATACTGGAACCTCCACCCCCCATACTGGAACATCCACCCCAATACTGGAACCTCCACCCCAATACTGGACCCTCTACCCCAATACTGGAACCTCTACCCCAATACTGGAACCTCTACCCCAATACTGATACTGGAACCTCCACCCCAATACTGGAACCTCTACTCCAATACTGGAACCTCCACCCCAATACTGGACCCTCCTACCCAATACTGGAACCTCTACCCCAATACTGGAACCCCCACCCCCAATACTGGAACCGCCACCCCAATACTGGAACCTCCACCCCCAATACTGGAACAGCCACCCCAATACTGGAACCTCCACCCCCAATCCTGGAACATCCACCCCAATACTGGAACCTCCACCCCAATTCTGGAACCTCCACCCCAATACTGGAACCTCCCCCCCCAATACTGGAACCTCCCCCCCCAATACTGGAACCTCCACCCCAATACTGGACCCTCCTACCCAATACTGGAACCTCTACCCCAATACTGGAACATCCACCCCAATACTGGAACCTCCACCCCAATGCTGGAACCTCTACCCCAATACTGGAACCTCCACCGCAATACTGGAACCTCTACCCCAATACTGGAACATCCACCCCAATACTGGAACCTCCACCCCAATTCTGGAACCTCCACCCCAATACTGGAACCTCCACCCCCAATACTGGAACCCCCACCCCAATACTGGAACCTCCACCCCAATACTGATACTGGAACCTCCACCCCAATACTGGAACCCCCACCCCAATACTGGAACCTCCACCCCCAATACTGGAACATCCCCCCCAATACTGGAACCTCCACCCCAATACTGATACTGGAACCTCCACCCCAATACTGGAACCCCCACCCCAATACTGGAACCTCCACCCCAATACTGGACCCTCCTACCCAATACTGGAACCTCTACCCCAATACTGATACTGGAACCTCAACCCCAATACTGGAACCTCCACCCCAATACTGGACCCTCCTACCCAATACTGGAACCTCTACCCCAATACTGATACTGGAACCTCAACCCCAATACTGGAACCTCCACCCCAATACTGGAACCTCTACCCCAATACTGGAACCTCCACCCCCAATACTGGAACCGCCACCCCAATACTGGAACCTCCACCCCCAATACTGGAACATCCACCCCAATACTGGAACCTCCACCCCAGTACTGGAACGTCCACCTCAATACTGGAACCTCTACCCCAATACTGGAACCCCCACCCCCAATACTGGAACCGCCACCCCAATACTGGAACCTCCACCCCCCATACTGGAACATCCACCCCAATACTGGAACCTCCACCCCAATAATGGAACCTCTACCCCAATACTGGAACCTCTACCCCAATACTGGAACCTCTACCCCAATAATCTGTATACTTGTATTAAAATAACACATGATAAACCGAATCCTTTAAGTTGTACTGAAGTAACCTACATAATACGAGCCCTGTGTATAACGGAAATAAATATTCAATTAACCTGCATAAACCGAACCCTGTATAATACTGTTACTTCTTCTTCAATACACTTTGTAAACCGAACCGTTTGTAACATTGTAAATATTACTGTTATTTGTCCTAAATTGAACATGCGTAAACCGAAACCTGTATAATAATGAAACTTTAAATTCAATAACCTTTATAAAACTTACCCTTTGTGATTACAGTAGCCTTTTACTGAAATATGTATTAAAATTATCCTGCATTAACCCAACTCTGTATAATAATGTAACTTTAAATACAATACCTTTATAAAACTTACTCGTTAAAATACTGTAACCTTTTACTGAAATATGTCCTAAATCAACCTGCGTAAAACGAACCCTTTATAATACTGTACATTCTACTTCAATAATATTTATAAACTGAATCATACACACTTCAAAACTTGAACCCTACGTGTAATTCTGTGTGGGAAGTCCTGTGTTCCTCTAAGATGGTCTATATATTATACTCCTGATGGCCTGAGGCCTGATCTTATATAGTTATTTTATATAGTCAGATTATCTATAGTCAGATTTTATATAGTTAGATTTTATATAGTCAGATTTTATATAGTCAGATTTTATATAGTTAGATTATCTATAGTCAGATTTTATATAGTCAGATCTTATATAGTTAGATTTTATATAGTCAGATTATCTATAGTCAGATTTTATATAGTCAGATTTTATATAGTCAGATTTTATATAGTTAGATTTTATATAGTCAGATCTTATATAGTTAGATTTTATATAGTCAGATTATCTATAGTCAGATTTTATATAGTCAGATTTTATATAGTCAGATTTTATATAGTTAGATTTTATATAGTCAGATTTTATATAGTCAGATTTTATATAGTCAGATTATATATAGTCAGATTTTATATAGTCAGATCTTATATAGTTAGATTTTATATAGTCAGATTATCTATAGTCAGATTTTATATAGTCAGATTTTATATAGTCAGATTTTATATAGTTAGATTTTATATAGTCAGATTTTATATAGTCAGATCTTATATAGTTAGATTTTATATAGTCAGATTATCTATAGTCAGATTTTATATAGTCAGATTTTATATAGTCAGATTTTATATAGTTAGATTTTATATAGTCAGATTTTATATAGTCAGATCTTATATAGTTAGATTTTATATAGTCAGATTATCTATAGTCAGATTTTATATAGTCAGATTTTATATAGTCAGATTTTATATAGTTAGATTTTATATAGTCAGATTTTATATAGTCAGATTTTATATAGTCAGATTATATATAGTCAGATTTTATATAGTCAGATCTTATATAGTTAGATTTTATATAGTCAGATTATCTATAGTCAGATTTTATATAGTCAGATTTTATATAGTCAGATTTTATATAGTTAGATTTTATATAGTCAGATTTTATATAGTCAGATTTTATATAGTCAGATTTTATATAGTCAGATTTTATATAGTCAGATTTTATATAGTCAGCTTTTATTTAGTCAGCTTTTATATAGCGTATAATGTAATTCGTCTTCTATTTCAAGGCAAGGGTTGATTTCTTATCATATAAGTATTAACTTCAATGATGTTTGACAAATATGTTGAGTTTTGAGAACTCCTTAAAGTCCAGAAGTTGTGTGATTCTGAGGCTTGAGCTAAACATTTATAAGTAAATCATACTTTTGTATTCAGACAAATCATGCCGAACTAAAATACACATTTTTTTGTTTGTGGTTGTCAGTATGTGTGGGTTATGGTTCATGATTAGACGTCATTATAATTAAATCTGTGATCCCGGGTGTCCTTTTCAAGACATTTTAAGATATCTCTACTTTTCTCTGGTAAAATAACATCTAATGCATTTCATATTCAGAAGATTATGATTAATGATTTGATTTTAATGTACCCAAAGATACATGAATGATTTTAATGTATAATAAAATTCAATTTTCAAACTCTGTGTGTGTCCTGTTTTCTTTACTTTCTTTTGACATATATGTGTTACAGCCTACACATCACCACCATAGCTAATTATATAACTATGGACATTAAACAAGGCTTACTCTTCTCTGGTACCCGGAACAATAATTCCATTTTACAGATATTTTACTTGACTTTCTAATCTTTTATAAATCTGGGAGATAATATTTAACATGTCACAAAAATATATCTATCATCAACATAACAAAATATACTTATGAATAACAAACAACGTAAAATATTGATACACCTTTGCGTAATGTTTAACTATCAGGTAAAACTAACACAGATATTACACAGGTAAAAACAGCACAGGTATATGTACATGCACGCTTATCATACTTTAAGGGGCTAAACAGACCCATGTACATTTCCAGTCAACACTTTGATTAGATTTCCTCGTCGGGACTCTACGATTGGAGGGTTACCTTTAACAGCGGGTATATACAACGTTAGACCTGATCCAATGGGACATCGTGTCGCCGACCGGGCTTTAAATTCTCCTGCCCCGATAGCTGAAAGTGACAACCCCTATTGGTTCCCGGTGATGTGAGAGACAGATGTCCCTTTCATTGAAAGGGTGTAGATTTTGTGTATACGTGTGTGTAAACAGGGCTCACTCACTTACTCTTATTTTCTAAAAGGGAAATTTTTCGTCAGTTTTTTCCTCTCTGTATAAGCTCTTTCCACTGTTCTAAAGAAGTCTTCACGCGTCTTTTTCCCTTGATGTGTCGACTAGCCAAGCACGCATATACTCGGAACTTCATAGATATATAGTCGATCTACTTGTGACTATACTTAACGGTTATGAGACACAAGGATATTTAGAAGTGAGACGTGAAAAATATATCTATATGTACAGACGATAGGCTGAGCGGGAACATATAGTATTTACACAAAAAAGACACCCAGTGTATACATACACTACCACAGTCAGGCCGTGAAATGATCGACCAAGCTTTTTGCTATGACTATAGAGCAAATAGTCTCTGTCTTCACTCGCCTGTCTGTACACGGGCGGGGAGAGGTATAAATTGAAGTAAAAACACGGATCGGACGTTTGTTTCAACTGTGATCCACCGCCGGAGAAGCAGTGTGGTTCTGTGTATTAAGTACAGAGGGCGTAGTCTAATGAATGGAAACAATACCGGTGTTTCGGATTTTTATACATGTGCACCGGTTGACAAAATGCCATTGGATCCTGATAAATAATTTGAACCAATCACTGGAGTAGGATCCTGTGAATTTTTTTTTACAGCACAAGGGTTATGTGATAGTGGAGAAGTATTTAACACGTGTCTTAAACAGGATATATGTGTTTCCAGTAGTGATTTAAAACAAAATGAATACGGCGAAATATGTTTTAGTTTGTGATATTGGCATGTTGATATTTAAGAGAGTTTGTCCGTTGACTTTTAGTGCTTACTCGTGTCACCCCTGGAACGGTTGAACAAATATGAATGGATACCATCAGACCATGCATGACGTTAAGATAGTTTCATCGCTGTCAGGAATTACGTATTGAGTGTTATGACTTTACGTAACAAGGCGCGTGTCCGTGGAACCGAATGCAGAGATAGCAACTTTGTATTAAACGTAACCTTTTTAGAACGTCTGTTGGAATTTGTCACTTGACAGCGCGTATCGAACACGCCGATATTTCATACTGGACATCTTGCGATATCCTTCCAATGATTAGAACTGATGTTGACGTGTAGAAATATTTACATAAATCATCTTATGTTTGGAAACTATTTAAATCTGTTTTAACCTCACAATCAAACCCCGATGTTAAACATATGTTCGCATAGCACGTGCATACACGCGTAGATAGAGATACATAATATACATACACGTGTTTTCTTTTAACTTTCCTTGTTTCTCGGAGATAGAAAAAAAAACCTACCGAAAACACACATTGGTTGTTTGGATTTATTTTCAAACAAAAATATTGCTTAAAAAAATTGGAAGATTCCAGTTGTCAGACTGTTGACAGGCATTCATATGTAATGGTGTGCGATCGTCACTTTGAGTAATTTTTACAGGGTTTGAATAGCCCCAAGTTGTAATTATCTGGAACGGTGTCAAACGCTACCGTCGACCAGAAGGCTAATTAACGGTGTAATTAAGATGTCATATGGAGATTTAATTCACAGTCGGAATTTACCACATTCTTAAAATCAAAATATTCTTCAACTTAACACAAGAGCAAAAAATCCAATAATTCTACGCCATTAGTTTCAGATTTCAAACTTTCTGAAGTGTTATAAATACAGAAAACCAAGTACAATAATTGCACTTGATAAAACGAACAATTAATCAATATTATTGGTTATAATTACCGAAATATTAGATAGACAATACCCGGATGTTGAGTGGGACAATTATTATTCTAGAGTTACTATGTGTACAAATACATTCAACGATGATTCAACGTCAACAACGAAAGTGTCGATCGTTCTTCTATTCTGGGGGATTTTAGGCGTAATTGTGATGAAAACACCTTTAGTCGACGCTCAAATCTCAGGTAAGTGCTGTAACCTTTTTTTTTATTTAAGCATTCATTTGACTTGATGTATGTAGATTAGTATAGACAATTGGACCATAAACAAGTGTCTATTACATAATAATGTAGATAAAAATGCACTTCACCGTTTCACGCTGGTGACATTCTTAACGCGCATTATTGAGTAAAATACACACGATGGTAATAAACTCTAAACAAGCACAGTGACATTATAAAATATCAAGCATTTTAATGGCGTCTATATCATATTTAACTTTCTTTGAATTTGAAAAGAAACTAGAAAAGTTTGCCATATCGACTACTGAATTTGACATCATTTAATATTTGTCTTTTCTAAAGCTAAATTGATTCGATTTTAGTCTTTTCCAAAATATGTAGCTTGATGCTGTATCTGTAAGCAGTACGAATAGGGCACTGCACACAATACAGTGTATCTACTAACTCTAAGAATAAAAACAACTCAGGGGCCATACACATGATATAATGGTCACAGTTAATAATACACAATATATATATAACCATTCTTCTAAGTATAGTTTTAAATATAAAGTCTGGCTCATGTGCTTTAAAATCAAACAATTCGCATTATATTTTGATATTTCTGATTACATTTAGTTGTAATCGGTTAAAAATCTTGTTATTATTGATAACCTACCTATATTTGAACGACGTCATAAGTGTGGTTTGTGTACGCGTAATATTCATTCCTACAAAGATATCGCCCAGATAATTTAATTTACACGATGCAAGCTGACAAATCTTAGTGGAATGTGTTATTGGCGGTGCTACAGTGGCTGCAGAGTGGGGTTGTTTGTATCGGTAAATCCTTGTCCACACTGTAATGCCTAGTGATAATTTCTCCGATTGTAAAACGAAAGCGATGCCTGCACGATACCAGACATACACTCGTAATAGTTCAAATGATAAATTGGAAAACAGTATCGTCCAGTATATCTATGATTAGTATGGTTTGTGTGAGAGGAATAAGGGAGGGACTTGCTGGGGAGGGGGAGAAAGCACAGGTTAAGATCCCAGATGTTTTTCTTTCCATTCAAACATACACAGTATATTCCAAGAGGTCGTGTGTGCATAACATTCGTTGTACATGACAGACAGCAATAAATGTAAACGTTACTTGTCAATTATTTACATTCCGCAATTTTTCAAGGGTTTATTTCTATGATTTTGCTGATGTTGGATAGCACATATCAAAATGTAAATGTTAAACAACTCGTGAAGTTTAAAATGCTGAGAAATGTACAATAGGAATTTAGAATTGAATGCGGAAACACGCGTTACAGTGCCATACTAATTGACCAGTGGATGTTTTTATGTAAAATACGATATACGTCAAAATACAGTCAATCTTCACACATCCGTCTCAGTCATACGAATGTTTTAATTGTATGAATTCATTAAGTGTTAAATGATTTATAAAATATCATGCACACGATTCTGTTAAAGTGGAAAGTGACATCATTCATCATTAGTTTCATTCAGTCAAATTCTTTAAACATTTCCCTTATTTGGCAAATCATTTAAAATTCTTAGTAATATGAGGGTAAAGGGTATATAAACCTGAATTAAATTCCTGAATTTAAAACTTGTCAAATATTTCTCTTGACATGTACTCGATCAACTGTAAATTCTTATTTCCACGTCTAACAAGTATATGAGTGATAGCTATATACATGCACATTAGTGTTATTTAACCATAACATTTGAGTTTATACAATGTATAAGTTGAAAATTTAATTTGTACATACCGTCATTAAATTCAAATTTAGATTTTATACCGTTCATTCACTAAAAGTTGATTATGTGTGTTTCTAAAATTGACGTTCTAACCAAAATGTTCTTAAAATATAGCATGCATAACTGTAAAAATAGACTTTTATTTTACTGAAAATATCTCAACCGTGTTATTATCATTTATAGAGTTTAGAATAGCAATTTGTAACAGACCTGTTCGACTGAGGGCAATACAGTTTGTCTGATTCAAAATATAAAAAAATGGAAACTGTAACATCATTGTGTTATGTTTCAAACTTAAAAATGATGTACAAGGCCAAAGTGGAAGTATAAAAAAACTTACGATTATCTTTTATAAAACATGATGATAAGTCAGCGGAATTCATGAAGAACAACTCAGGCGTGACACACAAGTGAGTAGAAAATAGTTAACCTTATTTCTGCAAACCACATTGGGGTGATGTGGACCAGGAATTTCTCAAGCAGAACTCGCTCTATACGTACAAAGGTTGAGTTACGAGATTGTTCACGTGAGAGCAAAAGAACTAAGGTTTCAGATAATGGAAATTATGCATTAATAGGAACAGTAAATCACTGGGGATGCCTCAAAGCATTTGGGCGTGACGATTCATTAGCATCACCCTCGGGACGTTAACGTACCTCAAACATCATAATATACATATCGCTGATTTATAATACCAACTAAAAATGTCAATTTCTCCAGGTTTGTGTGTTGATCGAAAGTCTAAATAGTATAACACAAATGTGTGGTACAATGTACTCGTCTTGAGAAAAACATTTTATTGAAAATTTACAATTTTTTAAAAAGCTGCAAGGGTCTGATTTGTAACGCTGCAGGAGAGGTACATCGCCAGACTGAAAAATTTAATTAGGAACGATCTTTGTATATATCTAAATTAGTGAAATTTACATATCAATATTTTAAACTAATTAAACTCCATAAATAGCACTTACATGTTATACATATTTTTTTTGCGCTTTTACAGAAACAGATAAATACAGTATCTGATTTTAGCGTTAATAAAACGAATGATTGATTTAGGTTTTTAGAGTTATGACTGGGCGGGGTTAAGATTGCGTGATATCACCAGTGCTTTAGGAACCGTGCATCATCATCTGGGTGCGTAGGAGATTTACTTATTATCATGTATACACCAATATTCCGAGCTCTTACAGCTCAAATCAACCCCCTCCCCCTTAAATAGCTCTACCAGGTCCAGGTGACAATACGCTTAGAAACCAGTACCACTTACTTACCAGCGTGTTTATGTTTTCAGTGACATTTGAGGAACTATATCTTGAAACGCACTTGATCTTAATAGCCCATATCCTTCCTGTGTGAAGAAAAACGACTGAACGTATTGAGGTTCCTCTACTCTCACGGAACACCGGCTATGACGGTGATGTTCGGTTAATAAGGGGCCATCAATATCATAACGATATTCTAAACACTTCATAATGGTAACATGTTCGGTTAATAAGGGGCCATCAATATCATAACGATATTCTAAACACTTCACAATGGTAACATGTTCGGGAAGACATAACCCCCTAAAACACGGGATAGTTAAACTACGAGTGCTCCCCTCCTCCCAAACCCCCAACCTCCCTAAAACACGGGATACTTTAAATAGGATTGAATCCCCCCTAAAAAAACAAGGGATCATTCACTTAACTCAGAATACCCCCCTCCCCCTCTTATACACAAGATATACATCACTTTACTGTGAAATATACCCCAACAAAGCAAAAACTAAAAGGGTTACTGCACATAGGAGATAATTACCCCCCCCCCCCCCCCCCCACAAACACACATACACACAAAAGCACACACTAAACAAAGGGATACTGCTCTTATGAGTGAGTTATACCACAAAAGCAAGCATAATTTAACTAACAGAAAAATGTAATTCACAAGACATGGGAATACCAGAACAAGGAGTGAATTATCCCTCCTCAAAAACATACAATACGGCTCTCTTAGCAGTAAAACATTCCCCTAACACAAGGGATGCTTAAAACAACAGCAAAATACCCTACCCAAAACAAGGCGTAATAAAGGTAACAGCAAAATACCCTACCCAAAACAAGGCATAATTAAACAAAATACCCTACCCAAAACAAGGCATAATGAAAGTAACAGCAAAATATCCTACCCAAAACAAGGCATAATGAAAGTAACAGCAAAATACCCTACCCAAAACAAGACATAATGAAAGTAACAGCAAAATACCCTACCCAAAACAAGGGACACGTCGCCTTACAGTAAAATGTCGTTCAAACAAGGGCGCGACTGCGAAGCCACCAGAACCCACAACTTTTCGCAACACGAGACCACAATATTAATTAATTATTAAAACACTTGCATATTTTTTTCCGATACACACATTTAACAAACAACATCCATTTATTTCCTTGTCATACTTTCTTTTCATGACAAGAATTGCCATGGACTGAACAATATTGTTTTTTTGCTTCGTCGTCGTTATTTTTTATATTTTTCTTTCTCCTCTTTTTCAGTCTCAAATAATAAATTACGGAAATTCACCATTTCGGAAATTAGATGCTCAGCTATTGTGGTGGAGCCAAAAGTTGACATATTGGTGCTGTCTGTTGCCAATTCTCTCAGACAGTTTCAGAATAGCATCAATTGCTACTGTACTTTTTTTACCGTTGCTTCAATGAATCATCGACATTTGACTTGAGAAGCGTTAACGTTCTTCGAGTTCCTGATGCTATGAACTAAATACGGCTTCTACTAAACTTTACCCTTAGAATAATTTAGTATTAAACATTCGAATACGTTCATAATAAATCTGTGTCCTTTACCGGAGTACATGTAGTCAGATCTTGACACACCTTTGTTAATGTCGTAATATGAGCTGGCCACTTCAGAGGGACGCTTACTTAAAAAGCTACTAAACACACTGAACAAACGTATAATAATGCAAAGACATGGGCCGTGCTAAAGACAAATTAAAAAAGCATAGACTACTAATTCTCTATCGTTAAATTTGGTCTGGTCAGCAGAAATTGATTTTTTAACAGGACCACAAGCTTACGTATGTGAACTTTGTGTGGTGGTGCAGGCAGATATAATATCTGTACTAGCAGTCTAGAGTTCAAAGGGTTCGGCGTTATTGAGAAATATGAATAGTTGAATTGCACAATATAAACACATATATGACTCACAATAGAAGCAAAAACATAATAAAAGAAGTAACTCT